AAGTTATGTCCTTCTTGGTCTTCGTGAATTGAGATGAATGAGAGGGCATCGTGTCTTTTGATGGCCAGTTCGTGTTCGTGCACGCGAGTTGCTAGTTTTCTCCCCGTTTGACCGACGTAGTGCTTGCTGCAGTCCTTGCAGTTGATGCGGTAGATCACATTTGTTCGATTTTTATCTTCTTTTTGCTTCTTGGTTTGCGATAAGATTCTCCGTGGGGTCGTCGTCGGTTTGTGGGCGACTTGAATGTTGTGCGGCTTCAGTATTCTCATGATCAGTTCAGAGATGTTCTTCACATACGGTAGGATTATTTGTTTATTCGGTTGTCCATCTGTCCTTGTGTGTTGTTCTGTTCGAGTTATTGTCCGTTTGACGAAGTTGCGGATGTAGCCGTTGCAGAGGAATACTTGATAGAGGTATTTCTCCTCTTGCTGCCTCAACTTTTCAGTGCTGCAGTGTGTTTTGGCCCTTTCGAAAAGTGTTCGAATGCAACTCTTCTTGTGACAGGTTGGGTGGTTGCTGGTGTATCCCAGGATTTGATCCGTGTGGGTCTTCTTTCTGTACACTGATGTTTCTAACGGGCCGGACAATGATCTTGTTACTAGGACATCGAGGAATGCCAATTTGTTATTTTGTTCCGTTTCCATGGTGAACTTGATATCTGGGAGGATACTGTTGATGCTGTTGAAAATTTTGTCTACTTCCGATCGCGTCAGGATCACGAACGTGTCGTTTACATATCTAAGCCAGAGTTTAGGCTGGAGTTGTGGTAGAATTGTTCTTTCGAGTTTTTGCACTAAGGCTTCAGCAATGCATCCGGAAATTGGTGAACCCATGGGTGTTCCTTTCACCTGTTCGTAGAATCCACCGTCGAATTCGAAGTATGTTTGTAAGCATAAGTCCATCAGCTCACAGATATATTTGTGATCCAATGTTTGATGTATCTGTCGTTCCTCTAGCAGCTCCTTTAGGGTTTCCCTGGCCAAATCGAGGTTGATGGAGGTGAATAGAGAGGTAAAGTCGAAGGATATCATTATTTCATCTGCGTCAATATTTACATTCTTCAATTTTTCTAGGAACTGTTTGGCGTTGTTGATGGAATGTTCGTAGCCGGCGATGAGAGGTTTGAGTCTCGTCCATAATCCTTTGGCCAGTTTGTAGATTGGTGTACCGGGAAGCGAGACTATTAGTCGTAGCGACGCATTATCTTTGTGTATTTTTGGTAGTCCGTAGAACTGAGCTGTGTCTGAGTCGTTTGCTCTCATTCTCCAGTGTTCTTCCTTGCTAATTTGGTGCAGCTGTTTCAGCCGTTTCAGCGTTGTGTTGATTTTGCTGGTGAGTTTTGAAGTTAGATCCGTGCTCATTTTGCGGTAGGTAGTTGTGTCCTGGAGTAATTCGTTTCCCTTTCTGATGTAGTCTGTTTTGTCCACTATCACGGTCACTCTTCCTTTGTCCGCTGGGAGGATGATGATATTCTTGTCGGTTCTCAGTGTTCGGATTGTTTTCTCTTCGGGTTTTGAGAGTACACTGAATGGTTTGTTTCGGGTCAGAATCGAAACGATGGTTTGCCGTATTTGTTGTTTGGTGTTATCGGATAACCCGGTGACCTTTAGGGTATGTTCTAATTCCGACAGAAATTCTTTCTTTCTCGCGTCTTTCGCGTTGAAGTTGAGTCCTCTGATGAGAACTTCTTTTTCTCCGTTTGATATTGGACGTGTTGAAAGGTTCCTGATCCAGGCGTCGTGTTTCTCAGTCGCCTTGTGCTTAAACAAATTCTCAAGTTTGCCGTTGTGTTGTTGACTCTTCTCTGTATAGATGATTGTAGACTTTTCAGGGTTTCGTTGTCCAATACAATACAATTGCCAAGCTCGGCGAACAACTGAACACCAATTTATACTACCCGAGCTACAAAAACAACAATCAACACCGTTGTTTACAAAACTGTCATATATATATATATATATATGAGTTAAATTCAACCTATTCTTTCATAATTACTCATGGCGGGCTTTATCTTGAATCGATGAAAATCTAGATCCCACGACAATATGGCTATCCCCATCGATTTTTAAGGATGGAGGTTCAGCCTTGGTTTTGCAGTTAACAAAACTCCTGAGCTCAATGTGGGAGAGGGAAGAGGTTTGAACTAAATGGTGTGAATCGGTCATCATACCGATTTTCAAGAAAGGTGATAGATCCTCTTGTGAAAACCACAGAGGAATTAAGTTAATCAACATCGGATAAGTTTTTCCCGAGTACCTATTTAGGGATAGACAGTGCCAGACGATATTCCGGTCCAGGGAGATGAAAATGATGATCCCACGAAACAAAGGGGATCTGTTCAAAACTTTGTTAAAAATCGAAAACAAAAACGACGAGGTCCTGATCTATTCGATGTGATGGTTATCACCGAACAGAGTTTCTTCCACTTTATGCATACATTAAAAAGACGCTTTTGTGTGGTGGTTTTGATGGCTCCTTTTGAGTAAGGAATAGCCGCAAGAAGTAGAAAGTTGGGGAAAAACATTACGATTAAACTAAACCTGTGATATAAATTAAGAATGTGTATAACCTTCACTGTTAATCACACTCAGTGTTTCTGACCACTGATTATACGGATCCCGAGGGGTCCCCATCCGGAAAGCGTAACACGACCTATATGTCCCTTGGTCAGGATTTTATTACCCTTATGCCAGATCTTAGTTTGACCACCTTTCATCACACAATGAGATACAGAGAAGTGAATTTGGCTGATCGCTGCCAAGCTCATAATGCATACAAGGTAAATGCGAAAGAGCAAGATGTATAGGGTCTGGGCCTAACGTGGAGGTAGGCACACCAAAGCGAACCTCTATGGTCAACATGCACAGCCTAAATGTGCATACATACCTAAAGCTATGTGCCTAACAACAACATTGCTCGTCCGGTTGCCCAACTAGATTCGTGCAACGCGACGAAGACAGCGGTGTTCGAACACCGACAGTCAATCCTTATTCTGTTTTCGCAATGGCCAAGTTTCTGCGCTGTAGAGCAGAACTGGCTAAACTGCTGTAGCATAGACTCAGCCCTTCACGGACAGTCGGATGTTGCGACGGTGCCACAGATATCTCCGGTTGACAAATGCCAATCAAGCCTTTCTGTATGCGAGCCAACATTTCATCCACGATGCATCTGTTCACTTGCTCACTTGCTCTCTTACTTTGCCAGTAAGAATGAAGTTCGGAGCGGGAACAACCCAGTCCTGTGGCAACACTTTACACTTTGAATGTGCAACACGCATTCCGAACGTAGGTATAGATTAGTACTCAAACTACTCAGAAACGCTTGTAATTTACGTAAATCTTCACTTAGCAGTGCAATGTGATCTAGATACTCCAGGTCAAACAATCTGTTTTCTGAGAGATACTAGCTTCACACTAGCTTCACACGAGGACAGGGCTGTGCTAGTCACACTTAATGTGTATTCATTTTCAAACCGTTCAGGTCGTAACGTACTTGACTTTCGGTTGGACAAGCAATAATCATCCGGTCTTCCTCATTGTACTGGGACAGAACGAGCTGATACAATGTGCGCCAATAAGCAAGCACCCCGTTTCGAATCCGGCGTAGCAGAATTGCCTCCGTGTCCGGATTGGCCAAATACGTGTGCAACGCATGCCACAACGATACCGGTCGAGCGGTATCAGACCCGGTCTCTGGAGGATCGGAGGCCGTGTGTGATTTAGTAACCCGTCCCAGTGCGGTGCACAAGATCCGATGAGCGTTAGAGACCAGATCGCGCACAGCACCCGGATGCGCGAACGCTTGATCCTCGAGACGTGCACCAGGAGCAGACAAGACTAGATCCGTCTAGCGATCAGTACGGGAATGAACAGTGGGAAATTCAACAGAGATAGTGTGGAATGGATGAATAGATTTAGAATTATTTAGATGTTCATCCTCTACTCAAGTGAAAAAGAAATGTGATCAAAAAATGCTAATGATGGTAACTTTTTCACGACAGCTTGAATCCATTGGGGAAATATATGATGACAGATGGGAGAATAGCATATATGAATCGTAACATTGCACTATAATCATAATTTTGAGACTGTTACATCAACATGGAGGGGTATCTACTCTTCGTGCAATCTTTAGTGAATACTCATTTTTTTCCGAGTGAATCCATATGGCTTTTTTTCTTTGTGGCAGCGGTCATGCTCCCTTACCGTCAAAAATAGATCAAACAGATCATATCAACTGTCGGACGGGAAAAGTTAGCGAGATTGAGTTGTTTGCACGCAACCCGTCGCACTCATTGACCGTGAATTGCATGCAGCTGGTTGTGCGCACGAATTAGAACAACAACCTCGACTAACCAATGCCATCATTCGTGACCGTACTTAGATTGTTACTCGTTCTTTCGGTGCACCAAAACCGAGATTTCGTTCCCCGCTGTGGTGCACGAAATGCGATAAACTCGATCTCGGTTCTCCTGTGCCTGTGTCGTGTCTTGTCTATATAACTTTGGTTATTGAGTTATCGTCAATGTCTGAGCAACTATGACCAGTTATACTTTGGCTGTATTCCGCACGAAACATTACGTCATCCTTTGTGCTTATTGAGTCGCGTCTAGCCTAGCTGCCCCGCGCAAATCGCACGGCTTCATTGGCCCACCGAATCGGTGTCCGTCTGCGAGCTCGACAAGATGCACAACTGAGGTCTGCTTCATTTCAACACAGAAAGAGCGTGGGAAGACAGGTGGTCAATCCGGGGGTAGAAAAACGTGTGATCAATCAACCGATCAGGTGCGCTGAAGGGAAACGGATCTAACCACAGCGTTTCCTTCCCAATTCAAAGAAACGGTTTATCAGTTCAAAGTGTTGGTTTCTCAAATTAATCTTCAAATGGTACAGTGAGATTAGAACTGAACTGAACGGAATTGAATTTCAAACAGTGATGAAGACTATCACACGGCCCAGACGAATTCCCCTGCACGATGATGTACCCCTTCGTTAAACTCGAATTGAAAAAATTCTCCAATAGTTTACGTTTTCGTTCACAGGAGTGGCAAAACAACAGATGAAAGGCGAGTACATGCACGCACGTTACCTTGACCAGAAATTCCGGCAATTCACCGCTCAGTCGTTTGACCGTGTCCTCGATAAACGCCTCACAGGTAACTTTCAATTGGACGTCTAACTGGCGTCGTGAATCGACCTCAGTCTCGATCACGTGGGGCGTTTCCAAAAGCAGTCGGAGTAATGTGTTGCCTCGATTCAAACTGAACAAACCGGTGCCACGTTGTATCCACAGCCCGATAGCCGCATCTGATTAGACGGAGGGCAGACGGGGGGGGGGAGAGTTATAGGCGAGATTACCCCGGGGAAAATAACGATACGGTACTCTGCACCAGTTGATTACAAAGGAAGACAGAGAAAGGGTCTGAATTTGCGAAGCCCTAATCTTGGTGAACACTAAAATTTGGGAAATCAATAACAGAAAGTATAGTTAAGTCTTTGTTTTAACAAAAAAAACCGTAGTGATACTGAGGGGTACGAAATTCAGGTATCAGTTATCAACATTTTCCTTTAAAAATGAATATTTTTATTACACACTTTCCAGTGGTGAACAGGAGACAGGGAAAGCCCTGTAGTCACGAGGACCTGCTGTTCAGTGATGGAAACTGGTAATCTAATCCCCGGGACTTGGCGTGGCGAACCACATAAGGCCCCCATAGGTTAGGTATGGAATTGTGTTATCGAAAACAATGAACTGTATACCGTCCGAGATTGCAACAACCGAATGATTGTTCATCATTAAAAGTCTGGATACTTTAAACTCTGGGCTTTCATTCATAGCCAAGTGACTGGGGGTGAAGTTTATTCAATAATGTTCCGCTTGTCTCATTGGGTGCACGAGAATAAGAACCAATCCCGAACCGTGGGTATATAAGCAGCGCATCAGCGAACAACACACTGAATTGAAATTCAAAGGCCTGGAAGCTCAAAAACGGGTGCTTCGCTCACACTCCTGCGTTGGATCTATGCCCCACTGTCTTGTTGGTTAGCTTTTTGAGTTGAAAGTTGCGGTTAAGGTTCCTCAAGAAAAATCAACAAATCCCCGATGTCCTGTGGGTCAGACTTGACAGTCAGGAGCTCTGGTCAGGGATCGCAAAGAAAAATTCCCCTAAGTCAGTATGTCGTGCCCTAAATTCTCAGAAACTCGGTTGGAAAACCATCATTCTCATCTGTCCAGTTCTTCCTTCCACTCGCACTAGATGTCTCCTGTTCGCATGCTCCGCCATGGGACATCACGCAGCGTTCAACTGGTAAGGTCAAGCAACCAAAAGCTGATAGATTTTTGAAACCAAAGTTTCGCTTTCACTTAGCTACACTCAATGTCCACACATTTTATAAGACCGGCCAACAAGCTGCCTCAGCAGGAACACCTAAGATTTTCAATTTAGACGTATGTTGCGTCCCCAAAACATGCGTACGAAACCCTACGTCAATTATCACCTTGCGATCGATCTCCAGATCCGACATCATCTTCGCGCTTCACTCCCCATAGGCCAAGAGATTCGGTATCCGAAGCTACCGGTGTTGTTGGTATCGGGATTTCGCTAAGTGACAAGGTCGAGTGTTCTTTTATGGACTGGATTCCGGCTAATAGTCCACTGTGCGCTGTACGTCTTGACGGTTCAGTACCAGAAAACAGTTACAGAAACAAACGTCGGTGCTTATTCGCCGTGTTCGTGTATGCAGCGACCGGATTCTACAACAATCTTTCTCAACTGCTCCAAAGTGATCGATCAACGGACATCACAGTAGCCGCTGGAGACTTTAATGCTCAAGTCGGATTCCCAGACTTATCAGAAACATTTCTAGGCGACCCGCACGCAATCCCACCCAACGGGACGGAAAACGGAGATTGTCTACTTCAACTTTGCGCTAACCACGGACTGTGTCTATCGAGTACCACTTTCTCCCAAAAGAAAAGATACCGCCTCAGG